ATGAAAGAAATAAAATAGAAAAAAAGATTATATTATATAAATATTATATAAAATATACTATTATATTTCATGTATTAATAAAAGTATATTTTATATAACATTTTTTATATTAATAATAGTATTTTTATATATTAATATATAATATTTCATGTATTAATAACAGTATATTTTACATAATATTTTCTATATTAATTATACAAAATATACTATTATCAATATACAAAATATAAAAAATAAAAGATCACAAAAACCAGTAATTCCAATCCACCCCGGACCGCACTGTCCTGAACTTGCTCGAAACGCCCTCTTTTGTCAGAAGACAGTCCTAGACTGAACGGCGGACATGTAAGACCTATGTCATGGCCAGAGGCGACGTTTACTCTTTTTTCAAATCACACCAAATAATTTGTATCCCCCTGCCGCCCAATCACCACCGTTCATTTTTCAAATCCGCATTCTACAATCCGGTCGTCGAGTCCGTCCGTCCGTCCGTCCACGTGTCAGAAATTTTGACACATCCGAAATTCCAACGGGTGTAAGTGTCGTCGTCCGCGAAACGATCCCGTCCACTGGTATCGAGCTCGAATAATCGACTCGAAGATAAAAATCGTAAAAATCCCCGCGTGACACTGCTTGGAAATCATTGGCAACCTTTAAGCAATCCTAACCTACAAGATTATCCGGAAACCTCATGTATCCTCGAGTATGTACCCGTTCCTGATTAGCTTGTAATTATAGGTATTTTTATAATTGTCGTTAATTAGGTACTTGAAAAAATTGCTGTAGGTTCGAACATTGAAATTGAACATTTTTGTAAAATAATCTTGTTACCTGATGCCAATGATAATTAATTAATTTATTATTTATTAATTATTTAACTAATTAATTGTAGCATTTTTATAATTGTCGTTAATTAGGTACCTGAAAATGTCTCTACGTGTTTTAACATCGAAATTGAAACGCTGAGAACGTTTTTGTCAAATACCAATATTAATTTATCAATCATTTATTTATCAATTAACTATCTACCTAATTCTGGTATTCAATTCGAAAAATCTCTCATTACGTGTCTAAAGAACAAAAATCACACGTTTACCTGAAAAATAAAATAAAACAAATCAAATTAAATAATTAACTACACTAATTATAAATATCACAATAACAACAGAATTAGAAAATTCTCAAGTGGACTGGACGGTTGCACATCTGTCATCTCGAAGACACCAGCGCCTGGAAATTTGATATGGATGTCGAGCCAAACGCCAGCAGGAACACCGACACACGCGAGACGAGCGCGCAGCGTCTGATAGCCGAGAGCGGCGGACGATGCATGAGCACGCAAGCAATGCAGTCGCTCTACGACTTCCGACAGAACAACCTCCTTTGCGACGCTGTTCTCAGGCTGGAGGATGGAGGCGTTTTCCCTATACACCGGGCGATCCTGTCTGCTTGCAGCCCTTACTTCAGGTCTACACTTTGCACAACGTTGAGTTTGTAGTCTGTTGTTGGTAGATTTATTAACACATTAAGTCTCAGTGATGTATGAATAGATTGCTTACTCTGTTCTATTCTATTCTATTAATTACATAAATTTTATGTAAAAATTTAAGAAAGAAATTTCATGGGACTTAATGGGTTAATATCTTATTTTCTAAAAGCCTTGTAATTTGTATATATATTCCAACAATAATTTTCAGACAATTTAATATCTTTTTTCCTAAACGTCTTTTTTCCTTGTCGTTTTTTAAAAATATTTGTAAAGCAATAATTCAAAAATGGGTCAAATTTGACCCATGGTAGTTTCAGTATTTTTTTAATATATTATTAATGAGAAAGTTTTATTGTCTTGGTCATGGTTGAGAGACAAGTTCTTTGGCAAGGGGTTAATAGTATTTTTACTGTGATAATGAATAGAAATTGAGTTTATCTACAAATGGAAACATTAAATGTTATCGATAGTCGGTAATATTGATTATTACCAAACGAATTTTATATTATATGTATTCTATCAGTGATATTATTTTAATACTATGATTATTAATGAAAGAATTTTACAATTTGAAGGTAAATAATGACTAATGATAAGAAGAAATTGACTTTATTTACAAATGGTAACTGACATCAAATGTTATCGATAATCGGTAATCAATCATTAACGAGAGAATTTTATTTTATTTGGTTTGTATCAGTCATATAATTTTAATATCACGAATATTAACCAAAGAATTTAAACTGTGAAGTTGCACAATAATTAATAACAAATATAAGTTGATTTTATCTACAAATGGAAATCGATAACAAATGTTACCGAGTGTCGGTAAGACCGATTATTAACAAAAGGATATCATACTGTTTGTTTTATGTTGAAGATATTATTTTATTCTCATGAATATTAACAACAGGATTTTACAATTTGGGGTTAAATAATGGCTAATGGTAAAAAGGAAATTGAGTTTATCTACAAATGGTAGCATCAAATATTACCGATAATCGGTAATCGATTATTTACAAATGAAGTTTAAAATGTGTAGTTAAACAGTAATTAGTAACAATTAGAAATCGAGTTTATCTAAAAATTTAATCTGTTATGAAATGTTACCGATAATTATTTGTAGGTAAAGTCATTTTCCGTTAATCATTCGTAATTATTTAACTTCAAATTGTAAAATTCATTTGGTATTATTCGCCATATTTAAATAATATCACTGATATATAATAAATGGTATAAAATTCTTTTGTTAATTATTAAAGTTACTTATTATCGGTAACATTTGATTTTTCCATTTGTAGATAGAGTCAATTTCTTTTGTATCATTAGTAATTATTTAACTTCAAATTATAAATTTCTTTTGTTAACGTTCGTGATATTATAATAATATTACTGATGTATAATAAATGATGTAATATTCTTTTGTTAATTATCAAAGTTACCGATTATCGGCAACTTTTAATTTTCCATTTGTAGATAAAGACAATTTCTTTCGTGCCATTTGTTGTTATTTATCTTCAAGTTGTAAAATTCTTCTGGTAGCATTCGTAATATTTAAATAATATGTTTGGCAAATAAGAAATGATATAAAACGCTGCATTAATAATCGATGTTACCTATTATCTGTAACATTAGTTGCTGGTTACTATTTGTGGATAAAGTCAATTCCTTCTTTATCGTTAGTTATTGTTTAACTTCAGATTTTAAATTCTTTTGTTAATATTCGCGATATTAATATAGTATTTCTTATTTGAAACAAATAATATAAAATTCTTTTATTAATAATCAATGTTACCTATTGTCGGTAACATTTGATGCCAATTACTATTTGTAAATAAAGTTCATTTCCATTTGTTTTTAATTATTGTTTAACTCCACATTTTAAAATTCTGTCATTATCCGTGATATTCTTTTTATAAATAATTATTTATAAACAAACCGTCATAGAAGCTAGTCAATAAAAATATTTCAACATAATAATTTAGTGAATATTGTTAATAAATTTATTGTATAAAAAACACGCCATATTGTTTTAGCCTTTTTGTCGATAATGTCGGTTTCTATATTTCTTTTTTGACTATGTTCCCGTCTAGTTGACGAACATTGTAATGGCATTTTATTTTATCACGTGGGACTCACCAAAGAGATTTGTATTACATGTTTCTTTATTTAATATATTTATTTACAACGTTCATTTTATGACAACTTGTTTCTAACTAACAATTTATAAAAAGAATATCACAAATTTTAAGAGAATTTAAAAATCTCAAGTTAAACAATTTCTAATAAATAATAAATTGACATTATGTACAAGTAAAAACCAACATTACTGACATATTGTACATCTGAGTCACAGTTAATTTAAAAAATTAAGAGTTAAATTTTTAAAAATTTCATTCGATACTTTAAGTATAAATAGTAGTAACACATTGACAGCCACGAGAATTTCAAACGTGTAACAATATTCTTTCATAACAATAGCAAATGGTATTAGAAATAATGATTAATAACTTGGTATCATAGTATATGTGTTACACTATCTGTTTGTGTTATTAAGTATTTGTATTCGACAACAGTTTTCTTATTGCAATTGTATTTAAACAATTTCGAAGCTCCGGTTACCAGTGATCACTGTGATAGTCAACGTGTTAAAGAAATGTGTCTGAAGAAGCCGACTGTTTCCAGGATGCATCTGATTAAAGTATTGCGCGTTTGCAGGACTTTATTCACAACTACGTTGCACTCACGTGAGAAGACCGATGTCCTTTTGCCTGGAGTCAGCAGTAACATGATGAATCTTCTGTTGGAATACGCGTATCTACGGTCAATCAATGTAAACAATGAGAATGTGCACCAGTTACTGATCACCGCCGATTACTTGAACATCCTGGGCGTTCTTGAAATCTGCAGCGAGTTCCTCAAGCAGAATTTAGCACCTGAGAATTGCATTTCTGTCATGAGATTCGCCAGGGAGCATTTATGTAAAGGATTAGAGAACAGCGCGTACTGTTATGTCATGAGACACTTTGTACAGGTCATTTGTATTCTGTTGTTTTACCTTGATTTTTATTGACACTAACTATACTGATACCTTGTAAGTATGCAGTGTTAAATGTTTGAGCCTGCTCTATAGGAGTTCATCGGGGAAACACTTTGGGAATGAATTATTCATGAACACAAAATATATTTTTATAAGAAAGATTCTAGCAGATTCACAATAATTATAGTAATAAAATATAAATGATACCATTGCTAACACTATTTCACTAATGAAATTTTAAAAAATTAATTTCTCAGTTTAATTATTCTTCCTCAATTGAATTTTGGACATTTCCTACAGTCAATTTTACAATTATTGGAAAAGTCAAAAAGTCAATTCAAAATACAGCACTAAATTGGAAAATTCAAAAGTCTTTTGAAACCTTTGGTAGAAATAGTGTTAAATACCAATAAGAAATCTTTAATTTTCCAAACTTTCAAATAAAAACCCAAAAAGTTTCCCTAACATATCTCCCTGTGATTTTAAAGCATCAGTAGCTACTACTTAATTTTTCCTAAATCAAAAACGTTACTTGCATCTTATTCAATTACATGGTGTCTGAGAAATTCCATGAATGGTAACAGAAAACAAACAGAAACATTTGTTACGTAAGCTGAGTCGAGCACCAACTCAGGTCTTTTAGATTATTCTTATTCATCGTTATACATTTTTGGCAACACTCTCTTTGACTGCTTGTCAAAAGATTGTCTAAAGGTCAATAAATATAATTACTTTGCATAGTCCATTGTTTCTTTTCTGATACCATTCACCAAGCTTTCCAGACACCCTGAAAAGCAAACAAATAAAGTTAGTTTCATCCAGGTAGCCCAGCGAAGCGAGGAAATTCTGAACCTACCAATCGATGAGTTGACAGCGTTGACAGGAGCTGATGAGTTGAATGTGAAAAATGAGGATACCGTTTGGGAGCTGGTGCTGAAGTGGATCAATTACGACCCCCAGTCCAGGAAGGGTCACATAGTTGACCTGATGAAGAACATTCGGCTGGGCCTGCTAGACACCCAGTTCTTCCTGGAGAACGTGAAGGACCACCCGTACGTTACCGGAAACGACGCTTGTCGCCCCATCATCATCGAGACTTTAAAGTTCTTATACGACCTCGAGATCATCACGCAGAAAGACGGGGAAGTGCCCACGCCGGAAATAGCGAGGCCCAGGGTGCCTCACGAGATTCTGTTCGCCATAAGTGGATGGAGTGGTAGAACCGCCACAAACTACATAGAGACCTACGACACCAGAGCTGATCGGTGGATCAAGGTACATATGTCAATCATTTCCACTGAATGCTAACAGATCTATGGTTTCCTACAACCATTTCACTAATTGAGACTATACAGTAACCACTTTGTCGAGTGGGGAAGTCCCTTCGCTCTTCACTTTTGAACTGGAAGTTGTGACATCAACGAAGAGTGTGGCTATTCGTAGACTGAAATTCAAATAGATTGAATTTGAAATAGATTTTGAAGTAACGTTAGACAGGAGTGTAGATGAAATTCAATAGATTGAATTTGAAATAGATTTTGAAGTGACGTTAGACAAGGGGGTAGGTGAAATTCAATAGATTGAGGACTGTACTAGCAAAGGCCAGCTTAGTACCCTAATTAACACTAGAACTACCAAGCAAACTGGCTTTTTGAAATTTATCTGTGGAAACTATTGAGTCTTTAATTGAAGTTTCTGTATTACTAAATCAATTTCTCTAGTGATTCCTCAGATAAGCGTTATTTTTTCAATAGTTAGAGAAAAAGAAATCATATATAGTTTGTTTAACAAATCTGGCTCTCAAAAGAGATTGCAATTGTTGTACTGTTATTTGACTCTGTTGGGCTAGGTTAATATGGGACCTTCACAGTACTTACTATGGGAATCTCATGTTAGCCAGGCCATGGCTCAGAAGTGAAGAGGAGAGAATTTTCAATTTTACAATTTTCTTGGGTCAAATCAAATGGCGACCTTTCAAGGCCCCTCTTGAGTGCAAAGGTTAATCATTCCTGCTCTGTATCTTTGCTGTTAATGATTCAATGCCACTTTTACAGCACAGTGGTGGCCAACGAGTCAGTAAAATAAATAATTTAAAATAATTATTAATAAATCAATTTATTCGCTGTCATTTTTTGAAAGGTGGAGGAGGTGGATCCAAACGGTCTCCGCTCGTACCACGGAACCGCAGTGGTGGGTTTCAACATCTACGTGATCGGCGGCTTCGACGGGACCGACTACTTCAACAGCTGTCGGTGCTTCAATGCTGTCAATAAAGTCTGGAGGGAGGTCGCCCCGATGAACGCCAGAAGGTTTGCCGTATTTACGTGCACTAGCCACTTGTGCGTTCTGGATTGAGAATGGGCGTGTAAATGGGGAGGAGTCAGTTGCGGGGAACCTGGCACTCGCGACGCCGTGGGGGCGGAGCCAGTCGCTGCGGGGACCGCCTCTCCGCGCGAGCTGCTTGGTGGGCGAGTAAATGGGGAGGAGTCAAGAAAGGAGTACCAGTCGCTGCGGACTGCCTCCTGGTGTAACCTAGTCCGTGGGCGTGAGTGGCTCAGGCAGTAAGGCGTGCGTTTGGGAGACTGACCACTCGGGCGAGAGTGCCAAGTTTCCTACAACCGAGGGTTACTGTGTCGAATGAGTGTGTGTAGCAATGATTGTTTTATTATTCTTGTCACTTGTATATTTAAATATAGTAGTACAAAGTTTCATTTAAAATGCTAAGTATTCAAGTCATTCTTGATCTCTTATCATTGAGAGTTACCTGTCGAGAGCAAAGGGTTAATTAAAATTAATAATAATTATATTTGACCTTTTTCTTCTACGATTATTGTCAGAAAACCATAGGTGGCAATTTTTTCATCAAAGAGTGTATTAATATATATATTATTATTTATTATATAATTATTTATTATTATTATAGTTGTCATTGTAGTTGTCATGCTATTATTATTAACAAATTAATAATAATTACATTTGGCCTCTTTCTTCCACGATTATCGTCAGAAAACTATAGGTAGCAATTTTTTCATGAAAAAATGCCATCATCATCATCATCATCATCATCATCATCATCATCATCATCATCATCATCATCATCATCATCATCATTATTATTATTATTATTATTATTATTATTATTATTAACAGGAACATTTTTCGAATACCAGATGTTACGTTAGCGTCGCGGTGCTCAACGACCTGATTTACGCTATGGGAGGATACGACGGGTATTATCGTCAAAGTACCGCGGAGAGGTATAATTACAAAACGAATCAATGGTCTCTGATAGCACCTATGAACTGCCAGAGGTCGGATGCTAGCGCAACTACTTTAAACGGTACGTATTTTTCTGTCAAACTATTTCTGATTATTTAAATAAAATATTATTTTTCTGTCAATCTGTTTGTGGTTATTTAAATAAAATATTATTTTTTATTTTCATTTTTTATTAATATTATTTTTTATTTTTTACTCTTTAGGATAAACATAAGCATACATTAAATAATAAAAGCTTTTCACCTTCCACTGAATCATTATTAATGAATTAGTTTAATTTAACGCAGTTGTGAACATCATAAGACAAAGGGTTAACATGGTATTTCAATTATCCTCTTAATTAACGAAGCGAAATAACTGGAGGTATTTTTTATAGGTAAGATTTACATCACCGGTGGCTTCAACGGCCACGAGTGCCTGAATTCCGCCGAAATGTACGACCCAGAATTCAACCAGTGGACTCTGATAGCTCCCATGAGGTCTCGCAGGAGTGGAGTCTCTTGTATATCCTACCACAGCCACGTATACGTGATCGGTAAACCTAATTTCTATTTTCCTACTGGCAAAAACATAATTGTTAATTATTTATTAATTATATATTAATTATTGATTAATTATGTTTATTATTAAACTCATAATTAATGTGATGGCCCAATTTCATTCAAAGTCATTAACCCTTTGCACTCGAAAATTATTTCATTAGATATATTCTTAATTTTCTAATGAAACATCAATGATTGGTTTTATAACTGACATTAATATAAATAATATAGAAATCAGGAGCTAGAAGTAATTTATTTTAACGTTTCATGGATAATAACATTAAATAAACTTTAATACTATACATCAGACTTTGTAATTTTGTCAACTCAAGTGATGATGTGATAAGAAATCAGACATTTTATTACAAAATGTGTGATTTCGGTGGGCAGGGCACCGCTCTGACTCTCCCACAGACCGTGGTAAGGCGCTGAGCGGGACAGCCGCGCCAACCGCGTTGACCGTCTCGCTGGCGGCGCGGCCCCCACGCGAGCACGCGCCACTCAGACGCCGGCTCTACGGGCGGGGCTAGCTACGGAACGCCCTGGGGCGGCGCTTGGGGCGTTACGCTCCGCTCCTCGCACCGCCCCTCGCTCCGCTCCCGACTGTACGTCCCTCTGGACATCGAACATCTTTTTATCGACAGATTTTTTCATAAATATTTTGAAAAATATGATTTTATTTTATTTATTTTCATAAATGGTTTGAAAAATATTATTTTATTTTATTTATTTTCATAAATATTTCATAAAAATTTGTTTGTTTTCATAAATATATTTTGTTTTGTTAGGTTTCAATGATATCTACGATGTAAGAGTTGTTTTAAAAAAATGTGGGCTATCTCTACTCAACTTAATTTGTGATTGAAGGATTGTTTTATCGGTAGGAGGTTTCAACGGGATATCCAGAATGTGTAGTGGAGAAAGGTACAACCCAACCACGGATGCCTGGAGCCCCATTCCGGATATGTATCAGTCGCGCAGTAATTTCGCGATCGAAGTCATCGATGACATGATCTTCGCGATCGGGGGATTCAACGGGGTTACCACCATCGATCACGTCGAGTGCTACGACGAGAAAACGAATGAATGGTAATGTTTTGTTTTCTTTGTTATTTGTTAGGTACTATATAAAATTTTAATTTTAATTTATTTTTAATTTTTATTTCAATTTTAGTTTATTTAATTTTAATTTCAATTTTAACTTATTTAATTTTAATTTCAATTTTAATTTTAATTTTAATTTTAATTTTCTTTTTAAGTTCATGATTTTGAGAATTGATGACAGTGAATCTTGTGTTATACAGTTGACACTGTTGCTGTGTAATGATATTTAAATTAGCAAAAACATATAA